TATATATATATATATATATATATATATATATATATATATATATATATATATATATATATATATATATATATATATATATATATATGACGATGCTAATTACTTAGACCACCTAGTGTAGAAAACGAGTTGGGATAGCAAAGCGGATCAGTAGCTTAGCAATTGATGATCCTTAAACTAAGCCGGTAATGTAGAAAACGAGCTGGGATAGCAAAGCGGATCAGTAACTTAGCAAATTGATGATCATTGAACTAAGCCGGGGTTGATCCGGTCGAAACCCCTCCGACCCTCAAGTCAGATGTACGGATCGTAGAGATAGTAGAGAGAATAAAACTCTAGATTACTTGTGAATAATAGATAATGGAACGTACCTTAACAAATGAGTAAAAATTTCTATTTATATGCCGTTGATTGGATTGGGCCCAAGCCTTATTTTGAAAGTGTTTGGGCTATTTGGTAATAGACTAAATTATTAAATAAATTTGGGGTCCATTGTCCAATTAGACATATCATATGATAAAAGCATAAATTAATACTTTAACAGATAAAATAAAAATCTATTTAGTGGTAATAGGATAATTTTTATATTTTATTATTATCACGTCACGTACTAATATTGATAGCAATTTGTAATTATTTATAAAGTCGAAGAATACGATCACATATAGGATATGATGGTATGATAGGCATTCAATTCTATATAAGATACACGTACGCAAAAATTGATGTGTATGTATTCTGAATTCTGATCCACAAAATGGAACTAAAAAAGAAAAGTCAAATGGTGAAAATATGGAAATAAATATCCTAAAGGATTTAATTGCCAAAATCTAGTCAGAAACTCACACAATTCACGATTCTCCACGTGTTTTAAGTGCGTGTAAGACATATTAGTGGGCTCTTACAGTTGACTGGCGAAATAAAAGCCCAAAACTAACATGTGAGGTTCATTGCTTCCCATATTATTCGGCCCAAAATAATGAGATAGTAAATTAAGGATCTCAATTCAATAAGGCCCACGTATTAGATATAGGACAACCATATTTAATTTCATCTACTAATTATATTTTAATCTTCAGCCCACAATTGAATTATTTGGGATACGTGATTTTATTTTGTATTTTGTTCATTACACTTTATTCAAGTTTCTAGAGGTGTATACCGTACACGAACCGAGTTGAGACGAACTGATGGATGTTCAAGTATGATTGATTTTTCTATCGAGTCCTCAGATTTTTGTATAGACTTGGTTTGATAAAAAATTTAGACAAATATCAATCAAATTCGAGTAACTTAATACTTTATACATATTCTGTTATCGAACTCAAGCTCTAGCTGAGTTGCATAACTTATCAACCAAAATGTTTTAAACCTTGAACCGTATCCATGAATGGATCGCTTGATAATGAATTTTTAATAAATAATCTCAAATGAAGAATTGAATAGTTCGATTAGTATTTAAGCTCTATAGATGTGTATCGCAAATGCTTGCTCAATGAATAATTTGTAAGGAATTTATTCAGAAAGTATTTTTTACTATCTATTTTTTCAAAGACTCTTTATAATGAATCAATATATTTTATATTGATCGTTGAATGACTATCTCAACCTAAAATTTACTGCTAATGAAATGCATCGTTTCATATGAATATTTCTAACGGTTTGACTTGTAAAAAGGAATTTTTAATTTGGAAAATGGCATTAAATATAAAATTTTGAGGGGAAGAAAACACAAGAGTAATTAACAGATAAAATGGCGTGGAAAAGAATAAAAGTCGTTACCTTAAAGTCAAAATGGTATATTACTTAATTAAGAGAAGTAGAATTATATATATCTATATGCAACTTGCACTTTTTTCATAATTATTTATTGCATTGTGAAGCATTATTTCTTCCATTATCCACAATAAAAATTAAAAACAAAATTTTTAAAAAAATGCACCATCTAGAAATTCTAGTGTCTTTTTGAGTCAAAAAAAAATATCTAAACGCTGAATAGAGTCAGATTAGTTGATGTAAGCAATGATACCATTATTGAGACCACACGCATTCTCCAAATTCCACTAATCCAAGAATTTGATTCCTATAGTATATAATTAATTATTTTCTCTTTGACCCGTGTTTTTTTTCTAAGCTTAATATTATAATCTCTAATCAAGATGGGATTAGTCGCTAATTAATTGAATCTAGCTTCTGTTTGATGTCCTTTTTAGATTGTCAAATCAAGTTTGTACTGCTACCGTGTCGGTTACTGGAGTCGGATAGTTTTTTTAATTAAATCTGTAATTAACTAAAGGCTGCGGCTATATGCAATACTCATTCCACTTGTGAAATACCAAATTAAAAAAAGATTCCAAAAGATTCTATTTTATTAAGATGGAATGACAAGTATGCCCATAAATTAAATTGGCTTTTTTTTCTCATGTAAGACCAAATACAAATAATGAGAAAAAAAACAAAAATCGACACCAAGGTGTCGAAAAACTATGCTACAAATCGACACTTAGGCGTCGAATTTCATAGGTAAAAATCGACATTGACATGTCGAATTTATAGCACAAATTCAAATGTCGAATTTTATACCTCAAAATCGACATCTAAATGTCGAATTTTATACCTCAAAATCGACATCTAAATGTCGATTTTTACCTGTAAAATTCGACCTGTACATGTCGAATTCGTTTGCGTGGGATTTTTTTTGGAAAATCGATATTCTAGCTAAAAAAACCCATAAATGCATACGTTATTGGGTTCTTCCATCGTAGAATCTTCTATTTCGATGTCTTTTGACTCCATACTTGTCATCTTTGTAAGATTTGTTGAGTTTTGATGATTTTGAATTTCTAGGTTTTGTGGGTTAATGGAAGAGGAAGGAGAAAGGTCTTGTGGGTTTTGGAAGATGGAGAAGATGATAGTTGGTCTTGTGGTTTTGTGGTCTTGTGATAGGGGTTTTTGTGTTTTTGAATTTTTGGTCTTGCATATTTGGAATTTTTTATTTATTTAATAAATAAGGGTATTATAGTATTTATACATTGAAAATTTTAATTTGGTCTTGCACAAGTGGAATTAGTCTTGCATATAGCTGCAGCCTTAACTAAATGATTGTCCTAATTTGCTCTAGTTCTTGGGTGTTGAACAATCCACTAATTAAGTAAAATGGTTGACTTAACAACAGCTTTGACTTATTAATCCTTTTGAAATGCAGACATATGTTTGTCTGGTTCTAGAGGACGACAATAATCTTTGTCTCATTTCTCTCCGATTAATTAAACAAGTTATAAAAGATTAATGGAAACTAAAGACCACCAAATTTATTTACTAATTTGTTTTTTAAGTCAACTAATGCATCCATCCCAAGTTCGAACGACTGCTAAGTTCCCATCAACTATTTAATATGTTGAAATGAATTTATGACGACAAAATATAATTTAATATTAAAAAAAATTATATATATTATTCCATCCATTCTATAATAACGATCACTTCAAAAAAAGAAATAGAACTATTTCATGTCACTTTATATTTTCAATGTCGCATTAAACGTATTTTTTTCTGTTTTAATCTTATAAATTCAACTATAATTATTAACTCTCTCTTATAAATTATTAAAGGATAAAATAATATTTTAGTCTACATTTTCAAGCAAAACTTTCGCACCTACTCAATTCGAATAGTATACAGTATCATAAATGAAGAGATTTTTTTAGTAATAATTTAGTCCCACGAAAACAATAAATATCATGATGGATCCACCACTACGAATAACACCAGTAAAGATCAAGATCCATAAAAGTATGCCTCATATTTAATTTTCAGTATACATATCTTATTGATCATGAATATTTGTTACATATGTATACATCACGTAATTATTATGATACTAAATGAAGAATTTGGCGTATTAATGAAGAACTTTGTTATTGCATTGACTGGGACCAAAATTATTAGATTAGAGTTCCGAAATAATTATATATGAAAGAAAAGGTTGATTGAGATGGAAACATATATATTAGTACAAGTGATAGGTAGCATTTGGTATGTTTGTTACGCCTTGGAATAACATTCTCTACAAATTAAGGCAATCCCCAAAGTTTTGGGAATTATAACATATACTCCTAATTAGTCATACCATTCATTAATTCCCATTTAATCATATATATCCCCTAATTCTACTTAATTGTGGCTAAGAGATGGATCGGAGGAGTAATTAATTAGCAAACCATAATATATAATTGCAGTAATAGAAACCTCTTTTTCATTAGAAACACCAATACGCAAAGCTAATTAAACAATTAGGAAGAAAGAAGAGGATGTAATTAATCCATGCATATTAATCAAATAATATAATTAGGCGGTGTACGTACGTTCAAACACGTTAGCTAGCTAGAGGGTACTACATACTATGTATGTATAGCACATGCAAGTGATGGATATATATATCGATCGATTCAGATCATTAATTTGTTGCAAAATTGTATTTTATTTCATTAAATTTATGGGGGACCTTTAATGTGATTGAAAGGGCAGCTCTGAAATTAAATATAAATTCAGAAATAATTATTTTAATTTATGATGATGGTAAAATATTAACAATCGACTACTTTTCAGATGCCACTGTGACCACCTTAAACGGGCCCAAAATGTCACTTAAATCGATCAATCAAAAGTCCGAATTGGTCCATGTGGCGCCAGAGGAAGACTTGTATTCTATTAATTAAGTTGGAAATTTAGATTGGAGTAAGAAGGAAAAAAAAAAAAATGTGGTGGAATCCAGTTGTAGCGTGCAGCATTTCTTGGTAGGTAGGTACATTTGGAGGGAGATAAACACGCACGACGCAAACCTTTTCGGGTACATTGACGTTTTGTGGATTTCATTACTAACAAGTGTCATTACTAGTACTATTTCATCATCATTATTAATTATTTTGACTTCTTTGTCAAAATAATATTGGAACTTAATTAGTCTTATTAGGATTAATGTGGTGAGTTGTTTCAATTTCATTCAATTGCTTGTTAATTTCGCGTTCTTAGTTTTTTGTGGATTTTTACCTACGATATATGATGTTGAATCATGAATGTATGTAACATAAATTACTAGCACCCCTAGCTAGGCCCTAACGCAAAGTTTAATTATGAAATATTTGTATAATTATATAATGAAATATTTTTGTAAAAATATATATGCTGGGCTTTACTTCAATGGTTACGGCTACGAGTGCTTCCGTCTAGGAAGTTTTTAAACATGCATCATTTCCTATTAATATTATTAATAATAATAATATAAAAAGAGATGTGAAATTGGCGGAATGTACACGTGGAAGCTCCACAACACCTCTTGGCTTTTAGGACCACTTAAGGTGGCTTCTCTACTCAAACATTCCCGCCGCCACGCTCCTCTTTCTTCTTTCTTCTTCCCCCCCCCCCCCCCACCCATTAGAACTCTCTCTCTCTCTCTCTCTCTCTCTCT